CCCGACTTTCCCCCTCACCACCCTTCTTAATCAATCAATCAATCAATCAATCAATCAATCAATCAATTAATCAATCAATCAATCGATGATTTCGACTGATTGATTGACAGATTAATTGATTGATTGATTGATTGATCTCTTTCTTGTTGTTGTTGTTGTTGTTGTTGTTCTTCTTCTTCTTCTTCCTTTATTGTCGCCCCTATCCCGACTTCCGCACCGCCCCAGATGTTCCCCCGCCCTATCCCGACTTCCCCCCTCCCGCTATCCCGACTTTCGCCCCTCCCCCGACTTCCCCCGACTTTCCCTCTCCCGCTATCTTGACTTTCCCCCGCCCTATCCCGACTTACCCCCTCCCGCTATCCCGACTTTTTCCATCCCTATCCCGACTTCCCTCCTCCCTGTATCCCGACTACACCCCACCCTATCCCGACTTCCCCACTCCCCCTACCCCGACTTTTCCCCTCACCACCCTACGTAATCAATCAATGAATGAATGAATCAATCAATCAATCAATCGATCGATGATTTCGATTGATTGATTCATTGATTTATTTTATTGTTTGAGTGATCTTTCAATCCCCACTCCCCCTATCCCGACTTCCCCATGATCACCCTACGTCTTCAATCAATCAATCAATCCATCAATCAATCAATCTATCAATCAATCAATCAATGAATCAATCAATCAATCAATCAATCAATCAATCAATCAATCAATCAATCAATCAATCAATCAATTTATTGATTGATTGATTGATTGATTGATTGATTGATTGATTGATTGATTGATTGATGGATGGATTGATTGATTGAGGGAGGGAGGGAGGGAGGGCGAGCGGGGGTGAGCGGATGCGGGCGGAGACGGGAGAAGAAGAAGAATGAAGAAGGAGAAGGAGAAGGAGAAGGCAAAGAAGAATGAAGAAGAAGAAGAAGAAGAAGAAGAAGAAGAAGAAGAAGAAGAAAAATAAGAAGATAAGAAGAAGAAGAAGAAGTGGAAGAAGAAGAAGAAGAAGAAGAAGAAAACGAAGAAGTGGAAGAAGAAGAAGAAGAAGAAGAAAAAGAAGAAGACAAAGAAGAAGTGGAAGAAGAAGAAGAAGAAGAAGAAGAAGAAGAAGAAGAAGAAGAAGAAGAAGAAGAAGAAGAAGAAGAGGAAGAAGAAGTAGACGACGACGAAGAAGAAGAGGACGACGAAGACGAGGACGACGACGAAGAAGAAGTGAACGACGAGCAAGAAGAACTACAGGACGACGAAGAAGAAGAAATAGTGGAGGTGGAGGAGGAGGAGGAGGAGGAGGAGGACTAGGATACGGAGAGAGAGAGAGAGAGAGAGAGAGAGAGAGAGAGAGAGAGAGAGAGAGAGAGAGAGAGAGAGAGAGAGAGAGAGAGAGAGAGAGACGAGGAGTAAGAAGAAGAAGAAGACGAAGACGAAGAAGAACCGGAGGACGACCCGAAGGAGGTGGAGGACGACGTAGAAGAGAAGGTGGAAAAGGAGGCGGGCGGAGGCACACACACTTACCTGGAGATGGCGGTGCAGATGCAGGGGTTGGAGTGCAGCGTCCTCGCAAGCGCACACACGCGCTCGTTGTCGAGTGGCCGGTTGGCCCGGTTGGAATAGGGAAGCGGGGCCAGGGCTGGGGCGACGGCGGACTCGGGCGGGCGGTACCCCCCCCCGTTCAAATTTGAAATTCAAATTTGAATTTTGCTCGATCTGGGCCATCGATCGTTTCGATCAGACGACCCAGATCGGGCGTTAATGTTTTCAATTTTTGTAGGTCCTGCTGGCCTCGGATTGTGGGGACCGAGGTCCAACACGGCCCCCCACCTAGACAAGTACCATCCCCCACCCCCGGCAGGCCCTTAGAGGCCCGACCCCTATTTTCCGCAGGGGCCGGACCTCCGTCGGACGGTGGTCCGGTTGGACAACCCGGATTTATGTAATTCTAATTATATCTATTACATATTTATATTGATTTGATTTATCTATTTCTATTTACTGCAATTTACAAATTACAAATTTATAAACGTCGCAGGCGAGTCAGACCAGAAGTCCAAAAGGCAGGCCCGAAAGGCCACAGCAGCAGGTGAACAGACGTGACCCCTTCTGCTGTGGCCTTTCGGGTCTGCCTTTTGGACTTCTGGTTTGACTCCCCTGCGATGTTGCCTCTGGGATTGAGACCAACGAGGCCTGCCACCTTCGACTCTACTGAACAGACATGACCCCTGCTGCAGTTGCCTTTAGGGCCTGCCTTTTAGGACTGAGACTCAAGACTTGACCTCAGAGGTCAAGTCTTGAGTCAGACCAGAAGTCCAAGACCTGACCTTTGTGGCCTTTCGGGCCTGCCTTTTGGGACTGACGCAAGACTTAGTCTCAGTCCCAGAGGTCAAGTCTTGAGTCTCAGTCCCAACAGGCAGGCCCGAAAGGCCACAGTTGCAGGGGTCACGTCTGTCCCGCTGAACAAACGTGACCCCTACTGCGGTGGCCTTTCGGTCCTGCCGACTTCTGGACTAACTCAAGACTTGACCTCTGGGCCTGCGACCTTTGACTTAGAGTCTCTGATGAACAGACGTGACCGAGGGATGGGAATTGGGATTTGTTTGCATGCCTGTAGCTTACCTACCCATGCCCTCTTTGAAAACTAACCACCCATACCCACTGTATAGACAGCCTACCGGACCTTTACCCATCCTTACCTGCTAAAAAACAAAAACAGTCTACCCATACCTGCCCTACCTGGACCCCTTCAGACTGTAACTGCTCATAACTGTCCATGAACTTTCTGTTCCAAAACCACCCATGACCACCTACACCCAAACCTTTTGTTAATCACCTGTACCGTACCCAACCAATTTTTTTTTCCACCCCTACCCACCCGTGCCCACCCACAATTGAGTGCACCCATCCAAACGCACCTGTACCGTACCTTTAACGGGGTTTTTGGGGCGTCGACAAGGTGCAAGGTCGGGGTCGGGGCATGGACCGGTAGGCCAAACGGTCGGTGCAGAGGTTGGAGCGTGGGCGAGCAATAGTAGGTGGCACAGGTC